GCAATTAAAATTTATTTCGCCCGCGGTGATATCAAGTTCAAACAATCAGTCGACAGTTTGATCAACTGTTGAAGAAGAAGAAGAAAAAGACACGCGACGAGTATCTTTTCATCAAAACTCTGAGGAATTTGGACACAATCCATTGACCTCTAAACTGTATATGTTGTGCTTTGAATAAAATCAATTGAATCTCCTTTGGTATAAACTACGGTGAAATAAATTAATGAATCTGAACTTTACAAGTCTAACTATATTAAATTTAAACTAATTATTAGCTACTAAAAAATGTAGCAAGTTATTTTTAAATGATATATTGGAGCTTAAAAAAAGTGAAATATTGTAATTTATCGCCCCTTTTTTACAAGATTATTGACATAGAACAAGATAGATTTTTTATTTACTTCAATTATCAATTATCTTGTTTCACGCATTGACAACTTTTGAAATACGTCATTTAACATAATTCTTAATTTATGACAATTACTTACTCATAAAAGCAGATAAAATACTCTTTCATATATCAATGAACTGCTATTTTTACTATTTTTATACAATTTCTCTCATTTTATACATGAATTCAACAAAAAATTTAAAAATTTCAGTTAAAAATATTTCTTAATATTTAAAAAAAAAAATAATTTGAAAAAACTTCCAAAATTTTCATTTTTATATAATGTTTTTATTGATCTATCATGGAGGCCAATTTCCATATTGAGATTTGACATTTTCAAGTACAAAAATGGAGGATTCGCCATAAATTCACCTTTTTAAGATAGGCTCTCGATATAAATTTGTTGCCTAATGGAGGTTTCATTTGATGCCAACTTGCAATTTATAATAAATTAGCCTGGCATCCACTTTAGGTGAACTTTGGGCCAAGTTATTGTGAGCAAAAGGGGTGCGAGTGGATGCTTTAAGCCTCCCTCGTTATGTATTTTACGTTGGGCAAACAAAAAAGAAATTTCAAAGGTCGCCGCCATTTTTGCAAATGATAAACTCTGCAGCATTTTTTTTCGGCTGAAGGTCAAAGTTGAGACCTTAATAGACCGTAATTTCGCTGCTTCCAGAGAATATATTCAAATTTCCAACAGATCTGTCTTGCAGGTCACACGGAGGAGGCAGTGCCATACATTTCGGTTCGCCAGGCAAGCAGCAAAGTCGCTCGATACGCGGGGCCTGGCTCGGACTCGCGATCGTCCCGGTGGCGCCATCCGAACGAATGCAGGCCAAATACTGCTTTAGTTGCGAAATCTCGCGGCGGCAGCACAATTCTTCTTCCCTCTGCAAATAATTGATTAAATTCGTCACGGAAACTCTTCTTAAATTAGCTAATATTATATCAAAGCCCCGTTCCATATTTTTAAGTAACCGCAACACTACTTTTTTCCTGTCGTGACTTTGGTCAAATTTGCGTGGAGCCACTTTTGTTATTGTGGGCTAGTTTAATCCCTAATCCGAGTTTGTTGGTCGAATTTCCAACATTAAAAACCCGCAAGTGCCGGCCGAACATCTCGTTATCTTTTCCAACATGCAAATTCGTTTTTCACGGCATTGATTATTTGCTTTAAGGATTGCGGTGGAATTGCCTCCACGCAATTTCAGTTATGTAAGAGTAAGGCACACGGAAAGTAGACTTCGAGCACTCGAATATTTGCTTGCTTTATCGCTCCGACACGAACAAAGAATTTTAACCGAAGTAGAAATTTATCATTGCACTTGAATGAGTAAAGAACTTAATAATTTTGGTCAGTAATTTTAAAAGAATAATTATAAAAAAATCAGTAAATTAAATTTCATTTTGTGACCATTCAAGTCAAGCTAACGTAAGTTTGATGCTTATTTCGAGAAACATTGAGTCTTTTAACCTTAAAAATTAATTACAGAAAAAAAGGTGAAGCAATTTACAGTTAGACAAATGAAATAGTTAGCTAGATGTGTGCAATAGTTTTAAACGTTGTTTTCTATACGTAAATTGTGATTTTTAGGTCAAATGATAACAAGTTGCTAATACGTTTCAATGGCGCTGCTTTCGACAAAAATAATTTGCAAAGTTCATATTTTTCCTGACTTACATAACAAGTGATGCTGTGTGTGTGTTTTTTTTTTATTATTCTAAAAAACACTATTTTTCGACAAGGCCAATTTTATCACTCCACGAGAGTCTTCTGGAGCGTCAATTTTTCTTATATAACAACGTTCATTTTTGTAAATAAATCAATTTTCTTGAGATTAATCAAATTAAACGGCAAAATTTTTATTTCTACCAACGGAAAAAAACAAGTTTAGTATTGTAAATAAATTAAGACTAAATTTGCTGAACTAATTAATATTGTTGGTACAAAATAATTTCAACTTTCAGCTATAATTTTATAGCGATATTAGAAGGCACTGGCAAAATCCATTAAGAATGAAATTATCCTTGCAAAATTGAGGACAATTTTTTGATAAAAATAAAAAACTTTACGTGTGTGGTCGATATTATTGTTTCACTTCTTGGAGAACACTCGATTTGCATAAAACCATTAAGGGTTTCGCCGGCGGGAAGATAAATTTACCAACTAGAAAAAAGATATAATAAAATAGAAAGCTATTCGGGCTGCTGGCGCGGCCGGACGGACATTCGTGGAATGGTTGTGCTTTCCTCGTGCAGCACTCGCAGCAATAATGTCAAATTCGAGAAGTGTGCGGCTCGCCGGTTAAATTGATCCGAGCAGCCCCCGAACCCCAGCAAAGGGGTAGACGCGGGGCTTAAAAATAGACACTTTTCACTCCCTTTCACTTGATGCTACGCCGGTAAAAATAAATCCATGCGCGAATGCTGCGAAGGGCCGCTTTTGTGATGAAAAGATCGCCTGTGTTTCAATTTGGGCCGTCGCGAATTAGAGCCGAGAGCTTTACTACTTGTTACGTCCGCAAAAGTTTCTTGCTGCTTCTTTGCACATTTGCATCGATCGAAGTCGTCACGATTCCAATCCGCAGGTTAATTTCCTTGGCGTGCTTTGCTCGCGAATCCAAAAATTTCATGTTGCGAGATCCGACGTCGCCAGTGCAGTGACTTTGACTTGCGGCCAATTTGATAATTCGCTTGGCACTGGATCTGTGTCAACCGCGCCGTCTAGAGAGCCTTCTTTGTTGCTCATCCAGGCCTGGAAAAGCCTTACGCGTTTAATGGCCCAAAATAAACAAGCGAAATTTCGGCCGGGGCTGCACGCAGAGAGGGGGCAAAAACTGCGGACGTCGCCGCCAGTATTAAAAAAGACGCACCCTATCCAGCTTTTGCTCAAAAACGTGTCCCTTTCTGGGCCACGATTGCGTAAATTTGCATGCAATTAAAAAAAAGCGCAAAGAGTTAATATTTTTAAAAATTATTTTAGCTTCCGAATGGGAACATTTTTCTGTAAAGCAATAAGCTAAAATTGACACAAAATTTCCAACTATAAAAAAGAAATATTTTAATTATAAAAGGGCGTTGCGTGCATGTTAAATGGAAAAAATGTTCTTTCATCATTGTGAAATAGCAGACTGTGACGCCCAGCCAAATTTGACCAATTATAAAGTTAATTAGTTAATTAATTAAGCAAAGTATGACCTTTTTGTTTTAAAAACTGCAGAAGATTCTAGGTTAAGTTTTTTGAGAACAAAATTCATTATAATTGGTAAATTTAGACTGCAATCAATCCTAATTTAGCTCTACAACAACACTTGGAAAACTTCATCTATATTTTTAAGTCGGCCCTAAAACTTTTAATTTTTAAGTCATTTTAAATTAAATATGAGAGCAAAATGAAATTTTTTCTGCTCGTATGACGCTAAAAATTTTAATAGGTACGGTAAATCTGTAAATCTCACATACTTTGAATATACACCCCATTTTTTCCAGCGACAATTTATCTGTTTTATTTATTTATTTTTATTATTTTTTCTCTAGACGATTTCCACGATTGATTTAAATTTAAAATCAAGTTTCCCTGAGTGGGCTTTTAAAGTCGTTTATCATTTTGTAGGCAAAAAAACAATACAAAAAAATAAACCACTTAGAAAACCAACTGAGGAAAACTTAATTTTAAATTCAAACATAATTTATTTTTCAAAAAAAAAAAAAAAAAAATTCAAATGATAATTGATTTAAACAATGTGATTGTAAAAATAAGGCAAAATAAACAATAATGAAAAAAATAAAATTGAAAAGTATAATTTTGGTAATTTTAATTTTTGCATATTGAGAATAAATCCTGTTTATTTATTTGCTTTTTTTTCATTTTGAAGACTGGATGCCTTTATATGGCACTTTATTGATAGAGGCGTGAATCGGGATTTTAAAAAAAGCAATTAAGAGATAAATTCCACGAGACCGCGCCGTGCACTGTTCGAGTGCCAGACAGACTGGTGGTAACCATAACAATAGTCGGCTCGATGTCGATGTCTTAATCAATATAGCTGGCAGACAATTAACATATTTCTTTCTTGATTAAGCAGAAGCAAAATTAACGACCCAATTAAATGCGGAGCCAATAAAATCGCCTCAATCGATTTCAGGCGCGAGTTAATCAAAGGTGTTGATTTTCAGCAAGATTTTTTTTCAATTTTGTTATTTTTACGAGTTTTAAAAGCGGTCTTGAGCCAAAAGTGCAAAAACACTTCCTAAAGTTTGCTCAGTGCTCGTTACCACAGCCTTGGAGCAAATTTCGCTTGGGACGACGCCAATAGGGCAACTAGGAAAATTGCAAAAAATGGAAAACAAAACCATTCTGGCAAAACTGATTTTTTTTTTTAATACGGAAACTTTCTAACTGCCGCAATAAATCTACTCGGCAAGTCATCATTAATTAAATATGACACACGTTGGTACTTTCATATTTAGTTTGGCGCAATAAAACAATTGTCAACAGAGATTTTTCTCGAAATAAAAAAGACGTCGTTTTTCGGTGCATTCGGTTGTTGACAAAAAAGGCAGGTTTGTTGGATGAAAAGCACACAGGAAAATAATCTGGCGGGCTTACCTTGTTTGTTTGGAGTGGAGCATCGTGACGCACATTGCTGCGAATATCACTCAAAATCACACAGTTTTTTCTATCTTCATCCTCTTCACTCTTCAAGCGTCCATTTCAATTCACATTCAAATACTTTTTTACATACCAAATATCATTTCAATCAGAATATTTTGCAATCAGACTGGAAAAAGGGAATTTTGGCGGGCTTGAGTGAATTATTTTGCGAATAAACGCAATTTTCTGGTCGTTGCAAGTTTGCGAGAAAAAAAACTTTCGGCGCGTCAACTCGAGTGATTTAAAACACGCGGTGCACATGAATACTGATGAGCTGAATCAATAAATTTGTGTATAAAAAGTCTAGTTCTATTTTGGGTCGTCGACACCTTTTTTGTTTGTTTCGTCGCGAAACAAGAAGCACAACTTATAAAAAGAATGAGTGGACTAAAAACGTCCTCCTATCAGAGAACAGCTCCAATTTTATATCAATTTTGATGAAATAATTTATTTTTATCAAACTGCGAAATGGTTGTTTCGCGCACACGTGCGAGTTTGCAAGTTATTTCTAGTCAATCCTATTTGCAAATCGAAAGGCGCTTTCGATGTCAAATCGGCGCAATCACCAGAAGGAAATGACAACGCGCGGTGCCAGGAAACGGAGCTAATTGCGTCTGTGTGTGCCGCCGTTTGATCGGCGATTTTCTTCTCATTGTGGCGCTAATCGAGACACTTCGAAAGGTTGGACTGAAACAAAGGTTTGAATGTCCTTTCTGACTCCGATCAAATTATCAACAATGAGAATACAAGAAGAAGTCACGCGTGACCTGCCGGGGAGTGAACGGCAAAATTCGCGCACACTCGCGATTTCCGTCGAGAAAGAGAGAAAAAAACGTGTCGTTTATAAAAGAGACCGTCTTTGTCCATTCTGGAAAATTTTCTCAACTTTATAGTTCAATTTTCGCGAAAAAATTTGATTGTAAACAACGGCGTAGCGAGCGCGAGGACTGAAATTTGAAAATTGATTCGCACGGATTGAACCGAATTGCAGGTCAAACCCTGAGGGCACCTTGCAAGAAGCCTTTTTTCCTGCAAAATAATTCACTCGTGGGCCCGCCGAAGGGCTGCGAGGGTGCCCGTGTGGAGCTCCGGGGCCAAGTCGGAGGCGGCCCAAGTGCGGGTCGCAGGGCACCTGCGGCTCAGCGGCGCAGGTCAAAGTGCACGTTGACGTGCCGCACCGCGAACCCTCTTACCTGGGAGGACACCTGTCGAGGCATCACGGTTCACTCAAGCACCACCGACGACTGCGATGCCATTTTATTTCAAAATAACACTTCGCCTCTAGTTCGCCTGTCCACAGCTGGGGCAAACACTGCAGAGCTCGCGACAGCGACGGCCGAACCGCGAAACTGTGTCCGGAGGGGTGGGGATGAATGGAGGTTTCGATCAGGAGCCAGGCCCATTCAAAGTCCTGATTAGTGCTATTTTCATTTATTAACCCTAAAATGTCACATTCAAACTGGTGGAGTTAATCAAAATTTGACTGAATCATTTTTTTTAACATTTCTAATCGTTTCAATTAATTTCGATTTATTCAGTGTTTTTAATAAAATATTGAAAATAATGATTCATGAGAAAAGTTTAAGCTCCAGAACTATTAATGGAAATTAAAAATAATTTAATCAATGGAAAACACCTTTTAAAATTTAAAATATATAGTGCAGATGCCTAATAAAATTTCATATAAATTTCAAATTTCCATCTCTTTGCTGTGGCTCCACTCATGGCTAGAGCCCTCCTCGCCCTTCAAGGACTACAGCTTCCCGAAAAGCTCGTCGCTCTATCAAAGCAAACTTATTGATCACCGGTTATCAGGCTAAAGGGTCAGAGGTTAGCAGTATAGGGAAGTCTTGATCTAGCGGAGAAAACGAGACCTTTAAAATTTAACAATAATTTTTTAATTATACAATTTTATCCCTTTCATTGTCAAAGGTGCACAATGGCAAAAATAGTGAAAGTGTCTTTATAAAATTATACCGGTTGTACAGGAATTATATGATTTATATTTACGTAATTCAATTTGATTCTCATTATAAAAGTCGGCATTGATTGGAATTGTTCCCACACGGCGTAAAATTTTTCATTCAGTGACAGCAAAACTATGTAAATAAAAGCAACGCATATATAAATCACGGCTGATAAACTTTCCCGCTTTTTTCATTTGCCAGTGGAATCGATTAAATAAGTCTATTGTCCCCCATGGAGCGCACCAATTTGGGTCAGCAGCACACTTTTTAGTTAGGGACTACTGCATTGAGTGCAACCCTTTCTAGTGCGACCCACTAAAAGCACGCGCGCTGCGGGTGCGGGCTGCCGCGCACCATCAAGATAGAGAGCTCTTGCAAATGACTAAGCGATGTATTTTGATGGGTAACTAATTTTACAGATAAAAACAAGTAGTGCGTCAAACATGTAATTTCATGGTGAGCGTTTTCAGTCATTTTTTATTTTATTTTCCTGCAATTGCGATGGAAATTTAATGGATCATACAAAAACTAAGGGAGCTCTATTTTGTATCATTGGCATTGGCTCTTAAAATCGCTTAAAATTACTTAATAAAAGTTTATACTAATCTTTATTCATAAACAAAATAATTAAAGTGGAAAAAATTGCTTCAGCATTTTGAAGATATATTATTGTTAGAACCCCCGACTTCATTTATTTAAAGCTAATAAGTATAGGGATTTGCATATTATTGCAATAACAGCTTAATGAACAAATAAATATAAATGAGATTATTATAATTATTATTGCAACAAAAACAGTATTGCTTGAATACCCAATCAAATATTAACTTCTGTTTCATAGATAGTAATAAATCCGTAAAACCTTTGTTTAAAAAAACACACACAATGAAAATTGTGTTTTAAATTCTAATGAAAACAAAGAACTAAAATGATGTTCATTGTGCCCCAGCCTTTCAGTGTTTTGGAATTCAGTCTATCTTTAACATAACATTAGGATTGGACAATAAGCGGTGCTTGTTTGATTCAAACAGATCAATCAGCGCGGCAGTGAATTTTGTGTGGTACTCTTCGACCTCTTCGGGGGAAGGATTGACCACTTTTGGCAACTCAATGGGCTTCCCAACTAGAATAAAATGTAATGTCAAAGGCACCCGTACCATCGAGTTAATTTTTTTCCCATGCTTACCTACTGTGGTGACGTTTCGCCTCTGCGGGACGAGTCCGAACGAGTACTGGAACATTCCTCGGCCAAGGAAAACCACAGGGGCGATGCCGATGATTTTCCTCAGCCTTTCCTGAACCCTCCGTAGCAAGGAGCCTTCTGGATTGTCCAGCTGATTGTAAAGATCTGTCTCACCAAATGAGAAAACAGGCACCAACGTGGCGCTGAAAACAGAGAAATAAATTCAAGAAAAAAGTCACCGGTTACAATTTTTACCCAGATATGAGGGCGCACTTGACGAAGCCTTTCCTCGGCTTGAGAATGATATTATAAACGCCCGGTTTCGACTTCAAAGCTTCGGCGGCTCCTCCGACTGCGAGAACTGACACTTGACCTTTCTTCTCACTGCACAAGTTGTACAGAATAGCTTCGCGAGAGGAGGATCGAAGGCCTAGGTGCGAACAAATGTTGCGAATAAGTTTTTAAGAGGATCAAAACAAAAGATTTTTTCTTACCAAGTGAAAGAATCAGGTCTCTGATGACGGGGTGGGAAAAGTTGCCGTCCAGGGTGTGAACTGTGGGGGTGAGCCCGGGAAACAGTTTCTCAAATTCCGGCGCTTTTGTGACAAAATTTCCAAAAAGACCCGAACACAGCACACCATGAGGGTAGCAGGCAAATAGATAATTGCGGTCGCTCGGAAGCTCAACTGTTCGCTCCAGACTCAAAGGAAAGTAGGCGCGGTACAGTCGCCACCATGTCCAGTCTCTGACCCACTCAATTCTAAAATTTTAAATAAATCAATTATATTGGAAATAATTATGTGGGAGGAATTTATTTATAAAGAAATTTAAAAAATTAGATTTCAATGTAATAAACAAAAATTACAGTAAATTAATAGAGTAAAAGTTACAGTATGAAGCTATTGACTGACTCAGTTGCGAAATTAATTTCTGCAATTTTTATTAAAATGCTCCCAATTTTTTGTTTTTAATTTAATATGATTTCCTCTTATTTAGTGTTAGTTTGGAACAGACAAAACCCTAGGATTTTAAAGTGCCGGCAGCCCGCAGGTCACATTTGAGGTCATAGTAGTCCTTTTATTTTTTTCATTTTCCTCTTGCAACAAGGAATTCAATTTTTTATTTAAATATAATTTTTGTTTTACCTTCGGCCTTCCCTCTTGGACGTGTTTTTATCGATGAGTATCCACAGAATGTAGAGGAAGACGAGCCACCAGAGTCTAGTGCAGATCATCATGTAAAAAAGTAGCACGCTGAAGAAAAAGCCTCCGAAGACAAAAGTCATGATCCATCCAGCCGCAGCCAGTGTTTGCATGCGCCGAATGAATGGCGTGTTGAGAGGTGCAAACTGCACTTGCAGCAGCCCCATCTGCAACAAAGACAGTATTTACTTAAGTGATTGAAAATTAAATATTCATATGAAAAAGAAGAAAAATGGTTCTTTCTCATTAAAAACGTTAATAGCAAAATCTTGAAAATCTCACGTCATCGTTGGCCATTTTAATTGCACTTGTAAAGAATATTTCAGAACACTATAAAGGCGCTGTGGTTAAAAATTTGGTCCATATAACTTTGATTTTGATTAGATATCGACGCTTGATTCAGTAAATATACTCATGCTTATCTTTAATAAATAAATAAACGTCCAAAGTACAAAATTTTTTCTAGTTCAAGTTTTACGAAAACAAAAATCACTCTGGGCGCTGCAATGGACAAGATAGAATCAACGTGAAGAGGTCGAGCGTTTCATTCGATCAGCACATTTAATAATACGGCGGGCGTCACGCGAGGCAACTTTGTCTGTCATTTGTAGCTCGTTGCATTGCCATTTTCACTGTATCGCGTCCTAATGTGCACATCATAAGGGCCATGTGATGTGAGACTGCGTGCTTTTAGCAGCGGGGGCTGATTATACCATCGGTCCAAAAGAACAACAAGTCCAGTTGACTCATGAAAGACATGACTTATGGGCATGACGTTTTCATTGTGCAAAAATAAAAACAATTCGTCAGCTGATCTGCAATTTCTTCATCCAAACAAATTTAAATTGAAAAAAAAATATCTAATAATTAAAATGTAAATTAGTTAAAAAATTTTGTTCACAAAAAATTTTTCTTTTTTTAGAAATCTGAAGTTAATTAATAAAAATATTTATTTTCAATTCAACCTTTCGTATTTTTTTTCTGCAAAAATTAAATGATTTATATTTTATGAAAAATTAAATAATTCTATCTTTAATGAATTGTACAAAAATAATATCTTATTAAAATTCCGCGCATTCCGGAGCTGCAGAAGCAGCGGAGGCTTGATTGGTTATAATTGGACAAGTTTGACAGGGAAATGAGACAGAGGAAAAATCACCGTACGTTTCAGGAAGAATGCTCGCGTGCATGCAAACCGCAGCAGCAGTGGCGAATCGTGGGTCCGAGTCTTTGTGTCGGAGGCGCCGCCGAGAATAGAGCAAGCAAGGTGTCCGCAGCGCACTAATCTCGGCCGCTCTTGCCATGTTATAAGGTCATGTGTCACGGTGACGTGTAGCCCCCAACACACCCATTGGCCTCCCTCATCAGTCTTTTTTGCACGACAAGCAGGACGCGGCGCACACCAAGTCATGCACAATCAATTCCGCAGACGCGCATTGCACGAGAATTGTTGCAATTTCTTAAATTCTTTCTCAGTAAAATAACAAGAGGACTTTTTATATATCCAGACTTTGAGGATGCTTTTTTTAATTTGTATGTATATAATATATAGCCTCTAAATTTTTATATTAATTTTTAAAATTATGTAACATTTACAAGAAATTTTATTTGTTTCATAAAAGAAAGTTTAAAAATAAATAGTTGAATGGCAACAAATCGTATTTTAAAATCAATATGTTCCCTCAATTCTGTATATAAAATATAATTTATATTGAATCTTTTGCAAGAAAATTTTAAATTGTAGATTCGGTAGATTCATATGATTTATTTGGATTCATTAACACTGTCAGAAAAAAACCAGAAATAAATTGAGGAAAAATGACAATAAAAAATTTAGAAAGAATTTACGGAATTTACAAAGAAATTAAAGAGTGATTTATCACAAAGTTAATTTGCGGAAAAATACTTTATATAACCCTCTATTCAGTTTTTTTTTTGTTTATTCAAAATACTGAAAGTTAATAAAATCATTAAAAATCATCACATAAAATTTTTAGATAATTATTTCGTTTCCGACTTCAAATTAATTTACTTTCCATCATTTAAAGGCGTTTCTTTTGCCCTTCTGCATTTTATAAATATTCAAACAAACATAATCAATATTTAAAATATTTGCTCGCGAGCAAATTAAAATTATCTCTTTACATCAAAGTTTCAATCTCATCATGCTACGTCGAATGAGTTTAAATTAAACTTTGTTTTTGTCCACCTAATTAAAAATTAATGACAGCAACTTGTTGCTTGACACGTCCTTTGATGAAAATTCCAAGCCGTATAAAAGACAGAGGAATATTTTAAATTCTTAAAGTACACATAATTACACAATTAAATCATTTACCTTTGCCACAGAGCGCAGGGTGATCTTCATGTTGGCGGAAAAAAACTGGAAAACATGCAATAGAAGAAAAGTGCATCCGCATCCATATGATTTTTGTTGATGCAGTCCCGAAAATCGAGCCAATGGGGCAAGGTGCATAGAAAGATAGGTGGGTTTACAGAGGGCGCTTATACATTGGTCTTATGGAAGCTAAACCTTCTAAGGGGCTTTCGCGACACCAGATGTCTCTACTGTAGCTTTCTCCCTGTTTCGACTGATTTTCCATTGCTTCAATGCAAAATTTAGTAGCAAAATAAAGACAATTGCAAGCTGATTGATCGATAAAATTTAGCATAAAAATCGAAGAAAAAATAAAGATTGATATGCTTGCCTCTAAAACAAAAAATATCAACTCTGGGTGGTTAATTTGCGTAATTGAAAATTACAACTTCAAATTGCGGCGGGAAGTCGGCACGTGATGTGGTCCAGAGTCCAGACAGGGCTGTGGGTTTGTTACTTGGCTCTGAACTCTGGACTGGAATTTGCTTTTCATCTTTAAAAATAATAATTAATTTAATTATCTATTCAGATGTATGTATCATTTTTCTAAATTATTATTTTTTATTCGCCATGATGTGTGCCTGGTGCCTGCCTATTTTGAGTGAAGTGTCAAAAATTTCCGATTAAAATAGTAAAAAATTATTTTTAATTATTAATTCTAAAATTTGCAATTTTTCCAGAAATTTAGAAAGCTGATTATTTTTAATTAGATAACCGAGATAAGTCAGATAAACAATGCATGTGTACCTAATGCATAATATGATAATAAATATTAGGGAGCAATTTTATTCAAAATAAATATTTTAAGAGATGACCAATTTACGAATTTTGATCATAAAAAATCTTAAGGTCACAGTTTGAAGATTGATGTATAAGAAAAATTCATTGTGTTTATTATTATGTATTATTACTTATATATGACCTATAAGAAGTATGATGCGCGTTGCCGCCGTTGCCTTGTATATATTATATCACGCAAAATAATGCAGGAGAAGCGGGTACCAGATACATTATAAACATTCCACTGACCTTAAAAATTTGTTAGCTTCAAATTGATTCATTATTTAAGTGGTGACAATGCAAGAAATTCGTAAAAATAAGCAAAAACCAAAGTAAACCCAGTGTTCCCCCATAAGCGCTTATGGTAAATATTGCGGCCAGTAGGGAGAAACCTATAGTAGAGACCTCTCGCGGATTGGAAGCCTCTTAGAAGCTTTCAACTCAGGGGGGCGCGGCTCAGGCCACCTATTTTTCCATGCACCTTGCAATGGGGGTTGCAGCATCGCCCTCTCCGCGGTGGTGGAGGCACCGATAGATGATGAAGTTCGTCAAGTTTTCGTTGATGGCGCGAGTGTTTACTCGTTCGCACTCTCTCGTCGTCTTGTGATCAACAAAAAGCAAAAACAACACCCTTTCGCTGACCCTTATCTGTTCTCCACTTGAGCTCCATTAATTCTGAACTCAAACACACTCGAATAGGTATGCAAATAACCCAAGAACGTGTCTTTATCATTGAGTGTGACGAAAATTAGCACAATGCAATGCCATTCATACAAGATCGCGCTAATTATATTTATTTAATTTGTTACAAATTTTGGTCTGCAGGGTTCAAATATTATTTGTGGTTAAAATTCTTTGTCTAATAATTTAATTTCGGCTCAAAAGGAAAGAATTCTTGAACATTTTTACGGTCAATTCAAAAATTCCACGTTTCTGAATTTTTATAGGGATGAATGATTGTGCACCTGTTCTCGTCATTTCCCGCATTATTTCCCTTTTGCAGTTTTCGTTCTTTTGTCTTTTATTCTCACGTCGTTTACTTTTTGTTTCCGTCAGCAGACGACGACAAGGCGCGCAGTTGCAGAAGCTCCACCCCCGAAGGCCACAAGTGGAGGGAAGAACTGCTGCACTCTTGGAGAACGCGTACGTTGGCTCTGGGGTTGATTTTCAACGCCCTTGCTATCGACCAAGGAGAGCAGATATTGACTTTGAAAAGTAAACACACAAACACGGCAGCGGCTCTCTCCGAGTTCAGTCCCGAAGAGACACTCGATCCAGCAGTCGTGGTCAACTTTCTTTCGGAAAAGGACGTTCCACGCACAAATGACCTGGTCACCGTTGTAGAGGCAGAAGAGAAGCTGTCAGAGAGGGTACAATTTTGCTACTAATTGTAAAACCATAATTGACTCTAATTGTCTTATCTTACAAGGTTTCGTTAATTATTTAGTATGCGATAAATTTTTCTTTGCTAAAGAAGAGCAAACATAAAAGAAGAAATAATGAAACCTTTTTCTAAGAATGTTTATTTTTGTGGTTCTATTTTAATGATTAAAAATTAATTTATAGGATCATGTCTCGCCCCCAGCGATTGTTGCGGCTCTGCGCCTCTCTCCACGATCAAAACTCTGCCCAGCTGCAAGTAAAAATAAATAATTTTGTAAGTGTATTTTTAAATTTAAGTATAAAAAATAATCACCAGACTTTAATTGATACAGTTGCAAGAGGAGAGTGGCAGCAAATGTGTGTTTTTGGTGCCAATTTTGGCTGAGTCTGAAGAAGTCTTGGTGCAGGTCATCATGGAAAAGATCTTGCCGCAGGAAATGAGGTTCCCGGTATGAATCAAAATCAAATGTGTTCCTACAATTTTAGCTTGATACTTTGAATTTTAATTTAGAGCTCTCTGCCATTATTATATTTCAAGATAATAACAAAGATTTTTTTTCTAAATAATTTTTTTTTTTCACAGATGAGCACCAGTGTGCTGGGGATGGCGATCACCTCAAGTCCCATAACTCTCACTGACCTGCCGGAGGAGAAGGTGTCCGAGTTGAGCCACTTGCTTGGTTTCGACCCCGAGTCGTACCTCTCAGTTTGTATCCGACACCCTGAGAGCCAATCAGCATCCTTAATTGTCTGCCTAGTCAACTTCCCACCTACCTCTCAGCCAGATAAATTGATAGATATCGCTGAAAATTGCTGCTTGTAACTAAATTGTCCTTCACTGTCCCCACGCACAGACCCCTTTTCAGCAAGTACAATTTGCAGGACTCTGCTCGGCATAATCCTCAACACCATGTCATACGAAAGGGAAAAAAGGCTTAAGATGCAGTGCCAGTCTCTTCTTACTGTTGCAAAGAACCTGTTCACACACCTAGGTTAGTTAGTCTCGAAGAGTCTGCACTTTTCCTTAAAATAATTAAATTGCTCTGCTACCTTTTGCCATTAAGAAAATTACATTTAAATTAGTCGCACCAAGTTATAAGTCTTCACCACAAAAATTATAAATTATGCATTAGTAAGGTATAGTAAGAATGAGTTAAATTAAATTTGCTTGTACTGGGGAAATTTTTCTCACATTCACATGAAACCAAAAGTGAAAATCTTTGCCAGACTGAATTTTTCCTGCCTAACACTCAATTTTGCCTGAATTTTCAATTTAACTAAAAATTAATTTTTCAGTGGCCTTTTAAAAAATAAACTTTCTTTAATTTCAAACTCTCATAGATAATATCAATGAACTGCTGAGGGAAATTATGATGGAGGCTCAGAAGTTGACCAATGCCGAGCGCTGCTCCCTATTCTTACTGGATCACGAACACCACCAGCTCGTCGCCAATGTGTTTGACGGCTACCCTACAAAGGGCGAAAATGAGGTACCAAAATTAATTTGATTAATGTTTTTCAAAGTCCCAGTTTTTTTCTTAATTTATTATACTTTTAATTAACTGAGACTCAAATTAAATGAAATCTCCGCAATAGATCCCGATTTTGAATAAGAATTTGTAAATAATTAATTTGTCAAATTTTATTTTATTTTACAGCCCTTGCAAGAGATCAGGATTGCTGAAAATCAGGGCATCGCAGGTCACGTTGCCATGACAGGGGAGCTTCTCAACATCAAAGATGCTTATTCTCACCCCCTTTTCTACAAAGGCATGGACGAAACCACAGGCTTTGTTACAAGGTATGTTCGATATTTTGTTTGTCATGCTGATGTTTAATGTCATTTTATAGGAACATTCTTTGCATTCCGATCAAGGATGAAAAAAGAGTTGTCGGCGTTGCTCAGCTCTGTAATAAAATCAACGGAATGCAGTTCACTTCTTCAGACGAAGAAATCGCCGTCGCCTTTAGCATTTTCTGCGGAATCAGCATCATGCACAGCCTCATGTACAAGAAGGTTCAAGACGCCCAGTCAAGGAGCAAACTTTCAAACGAACTCATGATGTACCACATGAAGGTGTGTCACTTAATCAGTAGCCTTTTTGGTTAATGAATCAAATCCGCAATGACCAGGTCTCCGCTGACGAGCTTTCTCGTTTAGCTGAAGCTATGGTACCTAGCCTAGATGAAAACTTCTCTTCGTACTATTATGTTCCGAGAGACATTCCTGTAGACAATACTCCTTCAATAGTCTTGGCAATGTTTGAGGATCTAGGTCTTAGTCAGAGGTGGAGGATTGGTCAAGAAGTGCTTGCAAAGTAATTTGTTTTTCTCATTCTAGCGGAATTGAATTTATAAAGTGTAAATATAATTTTCAGGTTTGTACTGCTAGTCAAAAGGGGGTACCGAGACCCTCCGTATCACAACTGGATGCATGCATTCACAGTCACGCATTTTGCCTTCTTGCTTCTAAAAAACCTGAAAGTTGTTGAGCAGGGACATATCTCGTAAGGCCAATATCTAAATTACTACTTACAGCACAGTAGATCAAATATGTACCCATCCTAATTAAACAATATAGGGTTACGCCTATCTCTTAAAGTGGGGCTATTTTGGGATACTTACACATGTTGACTTTAGCTTCTAGCCGAGATCAATATAATATATTAATAAGTAGAATGCTTTGTCATACATGAGGTGTTTGTCTTTTAGTCCTGTTTTTCTTGCAAGATGTTTATATACAATGACTATTTTTGTTTTTTACAACACTTCAGGAAAAAATTGTTAGATACAAAAAATCCTAATAACAAAATCTTGTTTGGTATATCACTTTTTATTTAGCTTTAAAATAATTATTTATAATTAATGTTCAAACAGAGAGCTTGAAGCATTGGCTTTAATCGTTTCTTGCCTGTGCCATGATCTGGACCATCGAGGGACCACAAATTCATTCCAGCTGACATCAAATTCCGTGCTTGCAGGACTGTACAGCTCAGAGGGCTCCGTCATGGAGGTTGAATAATTTACTTTTTGTTTTAATTTTTATTATAATTCTAACTAATATACAGAGACACCATTTGTCACAAACTATGTGCATTTTGAACACTGAAGGATGCAATATTCTCCAAAATTTGAATGAAAAGGAGTATGAGAAAGTTCTCGAATTGATCAGGGAAATAATTTTAGGTAAATAAAACATTTCTTGAATTATTTTAATCAATTAGGGTTTTCATGTAGCTACTGATCTGGCTCAGCACCTTCGGATTGTTGCAAAATATTGTGATCTGGTAAGCGCCGGATTTGACAAGACCAACGAAACTCATCGAAAGCTTTTGCTGACTCTTATGATGACCTGCTGTGATCTCAGTGACCAAACAAAGAAGTGGCCAGTAACAAAACGAATAGCGGTTAGTAAAAAATAATTAATACAAAAAACAAAAAGTAACACATTTTCTTGCAGGTTCTTGTGTATCAAGAATTCTTCTCGCAAGGGGACCTGGAAAAAGCAATGGGCAACAGACCAATAGAGATGATGGACAGGGAAAAAGCGTGCATTCCCACTCTTCAGCTTCAGTTTCTCGACGATATTGTTCTGCCAACATACAAGTACACTATAAAAATTTTGAAGCAGAAAACTTTGTAATAATCTGTGTTCTTGAAATTTCAGTGTACTCTGCAGCCTTTTTGACGAGGCCAAACCGTTGCTCGAAATTTTAAAGTTCAATTGTGCCTGCTGGAAAAAAGCACTTGAAATCTACACTAGTCGATGGCCTCAGGGTGGAGCCTCTATCAACATTCTTGAAGATGAATCTCTGGAGAAGGAAGTTATGGATTCTTTGGAATGTGACTTTTAATGAAAGTCGTCTAATAATTACCTGTGTTCACATTGAGAGAGTTGGTGTCTTTAGTCTTGTTACTAAAGTGGCAATAATAAAAAAAGTATTTCTGCTAGAAAGAGATATCAATACATTTTATTTTATTATAAACAAGTGGTTGATAAAAAAACTTATTTCAACGGACGTCAAAATATAAAGTGATAATACAATAATAAAAATTGGAAAGGTCTCCAACCAATGTGTTTTAATATAATTTAAATGGGATCACAAAAATATTTTGCAAAAAAATACAAGTTAGTAAAAATATGTTCACCGACTTAAGCATTAGCACCATCCTCCTTTGCTTTTTCAAAAACCGAAAAGTCAAACTGGGGCAGTTCAAGCGGTGCTAGGATCGGCAGAGTTCTTGTGTCAAAGAAAGCATCGCCCTGGCTTGCTGTGGGAGTTCCCTCAGGACTCAAGTGCTTCGGGGTCACTATGTCGGAAGCAAAGCTGGCCTCAAGATGGTCAGTGAGGAGCTGCACTTGGGTTCGAAGACACTCGTTCTCCTTATCCCTGGCGTCGAGCTGAGTGACCAACTGCTTGACCAAATCGTGCAGATGTTGAGTCAAAGTTTTCAGCTCCTCCACAACAACTTTGTCATCTTTGGGATGTTTGCTGCCCTTGATCGGAACGACCGCTTGTTCTTGCACTTCCTCCCTTGCAACAGCCCCCGTGTCCCGAAGCAGATTCGTCATCAAAGAATCTGCCTCTTCCATTGTTCTGCAAATAATTTAAATGAAAAAAAAGGAGCGAAAAATAATTAACAAGCTAACCTGAAAATAGCAACATGCAAATTGCTGTCATTTGCAAGTTGTCCCATGACCATCTTGTGTCTGTTTTTCTCCAAGTCCATGTCCTTGCAGTATCTTTCATACTGAGTTTTCCTAAGCCTGGTTAATTTAAAAAGAGTTAGACTTTAATTCTTTATCAATGGGAGAGATTTAATCTGATTTTGAAAGATAAAAATTGACTTACTGGATAAGTTCTGCTTGTCTGAGGTGATACTGCTTCTGAAGCTGGATGCTCTCTATTGCTTTTGGTTGAATAGTGCTGCCGAGAGCGCTGTCCAAAAGGTTGGCAGCTTTCATGTGACACTCTGAAGCTTCGTTGAACCTTTTGGCTCGGAGGTGCGTCTCGGCGCATCGGGCTTGGTAGTGAGCCTTAAATATATATTTTTTTAATACTTTAAAAAATATTTTCTGTGTATAATTACTTTCTTTACTTTATTACATAATAATGTCAAATGTCATTACATACATATACTGACCTCGTTAAGAGAAGAATTTTCCATATTACTGTCACATAAAAAAACCACAATACGATCTCCCTTTCAACGTTTCAATCTGCAGCTTCGTTCAGCACACTGTAATGTTTAAAAAAAATCAAATAATTATCGTTAAAAGATCTATACATTTACTACAATCTAAAATAATCTACCAAAAATATGTATTACATTATAATAAATAAACTTTTGGATTGTTTCTGCTTTATATCTTAAGTGAATTTACAAGTGATCTCGCCTGACACTCAATTTTTTTACCTGTAACACTTATAGTGTCAGTTTGAGGTTTTTGGTTGCTACTTTGTCAATGATTTTATAAAGTAATTAAGATAAAACAACAGCAAAAGTAAGAGACGAATTTATGCAATTTATGGGTGAAACCAAAATCACAACACAAAACAGCTGTGTTATTTATTTTCTTCTTATCCAATCAGATTCGAGCTCGAAAACAAACCAACCTTGTGGATGGTGGCTCTATCTATTTTTATTTACAACTACTAAAATGTATTTTAATACTCCATACATACGCTATAAGCATGCATCTTTTTTTTATTTTTTAAGAGTGTCATTATTTATGCAAATAATACTGGCATGACGTCTACAATTATTCCTGAATGCCCAGTCATGGAAATCTATTTTGTTTGTGTTAATCGTTAATCCTCACTCTGGATTTTTTTTATCTAAATAGAAGAAGACATGTATGACAATTATTAAACTCTTCACTCTTCCCTTGTGTAATTGATTATTTGTAAAGAAAATTGTGATGGGAAAAAATAATTTATTTCTTATAAAATTTACATAATTTCAAAACAAAAAAGTGTTCGAGCGAAAAGTTGTTGACGCGCGATAATATTTAAAATTAAGTTTCATTAATTGGGTCAAAATTTGAATACTGATCTTGGAATTGTCTCTAAATAATTTCAAATGAAGCGCAAATGTGAGTAGATTAATTATTGTTTTTAATCATTTCATTAAGAGCATGGTTAAAAAATTTGTTTGAAATAACAATATTTAATAAAAATCTAGTTAAAATGCGTTTGCTTGATATAAAAAAATAACTGACTCTAAATAATAATTGCTAAGGGCGTAGCATGTTTAGAAATGTAGTCGAACTAATCACTGATGAATATGTTTTAAAAAACAAGAAAAAAACTTATTCTTCTTGGATGAAATAAAAATTATTGTGTTGTGCCTAAAATAAATTTTAAGCGACTTTTATAGTATCGTACATTTGCAGCACATTTGAATGTTATAACAATATCTTTATAACTTTCAAAACACCAAAAATCAAAGTACTTTTTCATCCCTTGTTTACACAATTAATAGTATGCAATTTTTATTAAAAAACTTCAATTTGTACTGTAAAAGATTTGCGTGCTTAGATATGTATTTAAAATTTTTCGGCATGAAACATTATTGGCTGGAATGTTTTAAACAATTTTATTGTGCTCTCCGGTATCGCGCATCACACGGCGCGTTCAATGTTTAATAAGACGTCTATACCGAAATAAACCAGGAGCGCTTCTCTGTTTAGCAAAATATTAGGATGTAAAAATAGTCTGTGTGGTGCATAATTGGGCCCACGCTGGCAAACTTCATTTGGTGGGAGTCACGTAGACCAATATAGAACACTTAGAAGTCACTACAAAAATATTTTTGGCCTAACGTGCTAAACTTAGAACTTTTTTTATCTCACGCATCGCGTTGGCTTGTTGAATATTCGCTGCGGCCGTTTCTGAACCATTGGATCTCGCTTACACATGGTTGACCATAGGGACCATTTTTGCAGTATTCTCTTTTTTTCAATTTTGGTGAGAATTCAAATAGGGCAAATACAATTGTATAAAAATTAAAAAAAAAATTATTTCTTGCGCATAAATAACAAAAATTCAGGAAAGATATTTTGTTGAATAGTAAGCTTCAAGGTGTTATAATTATATTTCTGATTTAATGATATTCAAGGGATAATTAAAATCGTGCTGACTTCTGATTTTTTTAATTTTTCCTTGCAGGGTTCTGGACTTGCACCTGTAATCATAACGCAGATCGCTCGGGGGTCGCCAAGCCTGCTTGTTGCAGTGTCAAGAAGAGGTTTGATTTGAAAACAACATGCTGACAGCAAAGTGACACGTGAGAATTCAGAAATGATTGCAGCGAGAAGACAAAAATTTCATCCTGCATGCCATGGGGCTGAATATTAAACACATTTCTTATAAGTGGAAAATAAAGCCATGCGGCCAAGGATAATGCCAGGCACACCTTGCAAGGTGAGTCTTTTGGATTCTTCAATTGCTTTTCTTATTAAAGAACACAAAAAGAACGATCCGAAAACCCAATTTTATATTAATTCTGAACTGGAAAAGAGGAAATTTATTAAAAAAAAAAAACAAATATAGTAAATTCGCACATGACCATCCGCATATAGGCTCGGACCATATGCGAAATTCCGCGTCTACTTTTAAAACAGACCTTAGTTACGTCATTAGCTAATGTGTGACGCCGAATTTCAAAAATATATTTTGGCCGCCTAGTTCAAGTGAGTCACGCGCCAGGAACAGCGGCTACAGGCACTTTCGCCGCTTCAAGTCCACCACTAAATTTAGGTTCAAAACAAACTAAAGAGTTCTCGGCTAATTTCGCGAATTGCTTGTAACAAAAAGCACCGCGCTTCTGACGGCATCTGTTTTAACTGTGCTTTACATGTACCAATTTACATGCTAGTTTTATTAAAAATTCCATTGCAATGCTTTTTGGAAAGCGAAAAACTTGTCAACTTTTTGGAACTTTTCAAATAAGTAGTATTTATAAAAAAAAAATATTGATTGATTCATTTATAATTAGTGATAAATTGCAATATTTACTTTATATCTTTTTATGGGAAAAACTTGCCAGAAATTCGATAAGAAAATCGATTTCAAATCAATGTGAAGATAGAGAAGAATTGTGTAATTGTCTACTAAAAATTATTTTTACCCATTTTTCCGGCACAGTTTATGTGTTTTGGAAAGAAAGGGTATTGAAAAAAAGCAGAGTAATGTGCTCAACGGCAAAGCATTATTTTCTGAATTACATTTTTTATGGTGCGCTTTTTCACAAACACCGCAAGACTATAATTTAAAGGAAAAAAAGATTCCATAAGAAACGCACCAGGATAAAAATTATTATTTTCGCTTAAGGGCGAGGGTGTTGGTCGCGGCCACATAATTTATTTACTTCATTTGATAGTTTTATTATTCAGAGAGCGCCGAGAGTGGAGAAAACCTGTGCGCGCGTCTCTCTCTCTCTCTCTCTCTCTCTTGCTCGCTCGGAATAACAAAAAAGATTTAGTAAAAAGAGGCTCGAGAAGAAAAAGGATAAAAAATCTTAAGGCGGTGGCTAACAAGACCCTTATTGCACCTGTTTCGTTGAGCACGCGATCGCGGCTTACGACGGCCGAATCGGCGCCGCCGACCGACACTGCCGCACTCGCGGCGCCGAAACGAGCGCGGTCGTGCGTCGCGCGCCACGCTAGCGCGGCGCTGAGCGTCGCCAGCGTCCGTTTTCGCCGCGTAACGTGCCCGGCTGGTCTCTCGTGTCCAGCGCATTATATACGAGAAAAGATTTGAAATACGAAGACAACACCCTTTCAGACAACCGTCCATCGCATCCTAATAAAAATGAAGAGAAATTTCCGCTTCTGCGTTGCTCGAGAGCGCGCGCCGCCGAAGCGTGTTTCTTCACCAGACCATTATATGAATAATATTGTGTCGGCACTCCAAATATATAACGCATTTTTTTTCAAGGAAGAGGTCGTTTAAACAGGTAACGTTCTGAATCAAGAACTTAACTTTTACGACGACTTTTATTCAAGAATGCTACAAATCAAATTAAATTTGTGGATAAAATAATATTTTACAGTAAAATAGTTTTATTGTTGAACATGGTTTAATAAAATAAACATTTTCCCAATAGCTCTATTATTACTTTGTTGGAAAATTTTGTGTAAATTTGCAATCGGGAAAAATTTTTTCCTTTAATTGGTTTTAGTTTTAATTAATTCTGATTAATGCTGATTAATATACTATTTCAGACAGTCTCTTTTATTTATAAAATCACAACCACAAATTTTATATTTTTCGTCATATGAATGAAAATTTTGCTGAAATAATTTGGATCAGTACCATAAGTTGAACTTGAATTGGTTTCCGCAAAAATTACATAAAGAAAAATAGATACATAGAAATTTTTTAAATTTATCAATTTTTCAACACATTTTAATTTCTTATCATGAGTGTGTTTTTTGTAATTTTTTGTGTAGAGTTGTATCGTGTTAGTGTTTTTAATGGTATTCGAGCAGTTTCCGTTTTTCAATTTTCCTAAAAAATTATAACGTGGATTCGGAAACTGAGTGAGAAAACCAATGCTTCGGAAAACGAATTAAAATGTCAACTTTTAATTGTAAATCTTAATTTATTCAAAACAGATTTGGAATTTTCTTTCCAAAAAATTTAGCTTTTCCATTTAAATATTAAAATCAAGATAAATAGCAACACACTGAACATGAATGGGATCTTGATTTTGCTAATTGAAAGCTCGTCAGCTAGAAATATTTAATCCGTTTTCCGAGCATTGGTTTACTCGCTCAGATTCTGAATCTACGTTAAATTTCTTTTGGAAATTTGTAATAAACCAAAACTGAAAATATGTTTTTCTAAAAACCAAATGACAATATTTGCAATAAAAATGAAAAATATTTTTCTTTGAGGTGGTTTAATTTATAAGGTGCAAACTAAAAAAAAAACTAGATCATCTAGCTCATTAAAAAATAAAAGAAACAAATTTATATTTATTTCTCCTTGCTTGCTCCATACAAAGCCTAACGATGCTGGAAACGCGTGCCGCCCATCAATTTATTTACACCATCTCTCACAATCGAGAGGTGAAAGTCGGCGTTTAATTAAGATCCGAGCGTTTAATTGAGTGCGTTGGTCCTTTTTATTGCTGGATTTGTAAACAAACACGCGATTCCGCACCTTCAAGTTCGGACTTGCGAGTTTCGGTCAATGAAAGAAGCGTCGGACAAACACAGGCGCGCACCTCGCGAAAATGAATGGATCATGCTGGGAGAGTAAAGCTGAGGCTGATTGTCCTTCAAAACGCACGGGGCACTCCTTGTTTCACATTTCCATTCATGTAAAATACTTTATAGGAAAGAGAAGAGTTGTTAGTTACCACTCCCTCTCTCTGCGCTCTCTGAGACACATCCTGTCTCTCTCTCTCTCTCTCTCTCTCTCTCTCTCTCTCTCTCTCTCTCTCTCTCTCTCTCTCTCTCTCTCTCTCTCTCTCTCTCTCTCTCTCTCTCTCTCTCTCTCTCTCTCTCTCTCTCTCTCTCTCTCTCTCTCTCTCTCTTGCCTTCTCGCTGGCCGCG